AATTCAAAAGGCTAGCTAAGCATGCTCCTCACATGGTTAAGACAGAAAAAGCAAAGATTCACAAGTTTGTTGGCGGTTTGGCTTACCACATTAAGGATACGACACCAGCTGCAGCGGTGGGAATGACAGCTTTATCCTCTGTTGTGGGATTTGCCAAGCACTTAGAAAAAGACAGACAACAAAGGAGAGAAGAAATAGAGCATAACAAGAAAGCCCGGACAGCGGGCAGGTTTAATGGTACATCCAGCGGAGGTGGAAGGGATTCCTCTAATAAGGAGTCATTAGCACCAGCTCAGTCCAGTCATCGGTCTGGTGGTGGGTCTTCCTTCAGACGTACTCAGAGTTATGGAAACCAGTCTCGCTAGAATCAGAATTTTAGGACATCATCCTCACATAGCCAGAGTCATGGTAAGCAACATTCACACCAACAAGGTCTTTGTGGAACATGTAAGCGGCAACATTCAGGTCAGTGCAAGCTCGGGTTTCATGGTTGCTATCATTGTGGAGACATTGGTCATATAAAGGCCAACTGCCCAAAGTTGCAACGTAATTTCAGTGGTGGATCAACTTGTCCTTCTAGTTCCTCAGCTACTGCAGTTGCACCATCCCAGGCTCGCGGTTCTCATAATCAGGCAGGGCATGGGGCAGGCAGGGGTGCAGATCGAGTTACTCAGGGAGGGGGACAACCCCGTTTGTTTGCTACACTTGATCGTCAGAGTGCAGAGGCATCTGCAGAAGTTATTACAAGTATACTTTTAGTCTGCTCACATAATGCTTATGCCATAATGGATCCAGGTTCAATGTTTTCATACGTGACTCCATACTTTGCAATTAACCTCGGACTAGAACCTGAACAACTTAGTGAGCCATTCCTAGTATCTACTCCAGTTGGCGAGTCAGTGAAAGTCACAAGAGTCTATAGAGGTTGTATAGTTTCAGTCCAAGGTCGCAACACCAAGGCCGATCTCATAGAATTAGAAATGGTCGATTTCGATGTGATCATGGGTATGGATTGGTATGCCATGTTAGATTGTCATGCCAAGATAGTCAGGTTCCAATTTCAAAATGAAGAAGTCTTAGAGTGGAAGGGTAGTTCAGCATCGCTTATAGGTAAGATTATTTCTTACCTTAAGGCACAACGAATGATCGGTAAGGGGTGTCTCGCCTATTTGGCTCACATCATTAATCCAGAATCAAAACCACCAGCTCTTCAGTCTGTGCCAGTTGTTAGAGAATTTCTGGAAGTTTTCCCAGATGACCTTCCTGGACTTCCTCCCGAAAGAATCATAGACTTTGGCTATTGGTGAGCTTCGCTTTTGTTCGTGGAGTATTCCTTAGAGTTATCTTTATTTAGTTATTTCTTTGTTTACTTAGAGAACTGGCCAGGAAATCTCATGTCCTGAGCAGTGCGTCAGTTTATCAGTAGAGGCTTCATAGACATAGTCGTTGGGTTAAGATTCAGATGTTTTTGATAATAACTTAGCAGTAATTCAGTAGTTAGTACGAATAAAGTTTTGGAGTTGATTTATTTAAATTAATCATAAGTATTTGGTTAGAGTATTGCCTTGTTGCATATAAAGTTTGGAGTTATAATAGATTTGATAAGCAGGAAGAAGGGAAAAAAAGGAAAAAGTTATAATCAATTTCCTCTAATATAAACCTTATGTGAAAGAAGGAAAAAAAATTCTAGAGATAAAGTTGATTTTAATAAGGTGTGATCCAAAAATGAAAATCTGGGGTCTCAATCTTTAATAAAGTTAAATGCACTTCTCTTTCCAATTTCTTTAATTGGCCATTTTTATTTACTTTTCGTTGCTTAACAGACTGGAAAATTGGAATTAAAAAAATATACAATCCAAATTGCAATTAAAATCCGTGAAACAGAGTTGTCATTTTTCCAAGAAAACAAAAGCAACACAAAGACCGAAATTAGTGTACTAAAATCTTAATAAAGAAATTCAGTGGAGATTTAGAGGAAAATTTAGAATTTTGTCCGTAATCAATTAAACAGCCTAAAGAATTCTTTGTGAATTGTTTTAGAAAAAGTTCCTTATTTGTAATATGGTCCTATCTCTATCGCTATCTACTTTTTATGTCATAAATTATTGGGCAACGTTACATTTTCTAGTCCCTAAGAGGCATATTTATAGGAGACGTAAACAACTTTTCAATCCTTAAATACATTACACACGTCTTCACAAATATACCTAAGTTACTATTAATCAATATATATATTTCTATTTTTATTTATTAATTAATCATTTAAATTATTATGATTAGTGTAGACATCCCATGCAAGTAAATTTTTATCATAGAGTGGGACCTTTGCTAATTTGTACTAGCCCTTTTGGCAAACTTTCAAAATTGGCTTATTTTGAAATATATCTTTTGCCAAAGTGCATTTTAAAAAGAAAAAATGTTTCTCGAGAATAGAAATATGTGTTTGGCTAAATAATTTGATAAATGCTTTTATCAATATTAAAAAAGCAATTTATGTTTGGTCAGATTTTGAAGGTAAACAAACACCTCTAATTGACTTTGATCTGAAAAGGACGTCTTTGACAATTAAAGTGCACTGCTTTTCCATTTCAGTCTTTTTATTTTATTAAACAAACACAATTTATAAAAATGATAAAAGTTGTTAAGGGGGACAGAATCTTCTACATTCTTGGAAAATCTATATTCTTGTAAAATATTACACCCACATGTCTAAACTTCGAAAAATATGGGATCCAACCGGTCCAGCAGAATATATTGGAAGTTCATATACAGGTGCTCAAATCTCCAGTATATTATGCTGGAACTTTCTGCGTGCTGGAGTTCCAGCATAATATGCTGAAAGTTCATACACAGGTGCACCGATCTTCAGTATATTAGGCCGGAACTTTCCATATTGCAGCAAAATAATGACTATTTTTTAATGACTTTGCATACGATGGATATTTTTAAACGACCAATCTAAAAACTGGTTAGTCCGTGCTATTTTTACACTTTTTACCGATTATTCGAGGATCAACCCGACAGCATCCAAGATAGATTCTATGTCCCATTCTTCATTTAAAAACAACATATATCCAAAGAAGAAGAAAAAAAAGAGATGGAAGAAACTAATCTTAATCTCCAAATAAAAATTATAGGGGATTAACATGGATTTAATTGAGGATTTATTTAATATTGGAATTAGCGTCAAAGTTTGTCAATTGTATAATGTTAGTCGAGGAAAATAATGCTACATGAAAAAGAAAAAAAAAAACATAATTTCAAATAAGACTAAATAATTAAGATTTAAAAAAAAATTATTTGGAAAAACGTCAAACATGATTGTATTTTCAGAACTAATGCACATGAACATAGTAAAAAAAAAATTAATATTTCACTACATGTTTAAACAACCTAATTTTACAAAATGTCACGTCTACAAAGCAAACAGTAAAGTTGCAACACTTTTTATTTGTATATTAGCTTTTCTCTAATAAAACCAAAATTTTCTTAGTAGAGTTTACTGACATTGTTATTGTTCTTGTCCCTTCATTTTCTTAGTATTTTTACCCCATTTTTTTCCATGGTTTTGATTTACATGACCAACAGTATTTATTTCCAAGTATAAATTGGGCGGCAAATTTTTCGTATAAATAGCAAAGTAATTATAATTTATATCAGCTTTTCACCACAAAAAACATCTTGTTTACTTCACAACTACTTTAGATTAAACTTAATTTCAACAATGAAAAAGGGAACTTATTTTAGCCTAGTTCATTTTGTTACTTTCTTGATCCTTTATTCCATGGTTTGTACCAACACATTAGTGGAGGCTCAAAAATGCAAGCCAAGTGGAAAAATAAAGGGTAAAAAGGCCCCAAAAGATCAATGTAGCCCTGGTGATGAATGTTGTAAAGAAGGAAAATTTTACACTACATACAAATGTTCACCTCCGATTACAGGTCACACGAAGGCAATTCTTACCGTTAACGACTTTGACAAAGGTGGTGATGGTGGCGGTCCATCAGAATGTAGTGGCACGTATTACCATAACTCTATTCCGGTGGTGGCTCTGTCCACCGGATGGTATAGTAAAGGGAGACGATGTTTTGAAAACATTACCATACATGCAAATGGGAAGAGTGTGAAAGCAATGGTTGTCGATGAATGTGATTCGGGTGAAGGGTGTGATGCTCCACATGCATACCAACCTCCTTGCCCGAATAACATTGTGGATGCTTCTGAAGCAGTATGGAAAGCTTTAGGTGTTCCTAAGAAAGATTGGGGTTGGCTTGACATCTCCTGGTCTGAATAATGAATCTTGATATAAAATCTTCTGGCTTTTAATAAATACCCTGCATATCCCGAGGAACTGACAACAAGTCACAGTTCCCTTCTTCAAATAATACTCTTTCTTTCTCTTGTTTTCTTTTCCATTCAAGTTATCTCCACTTGTGAGATTACACAGGGTTTATTGTTATTGTTGTTGTTATTTTCCATTCAAGTTATCATATGGTAAAGAAGTTTCTACTTGCTTCTCTGTTAAAATATAATGATCAAGTATATACATGCATCTATTTGAACTGAATTTGACAAAATTAATTTGCTTATACTATACTCTTTCCTTGAATCGAGGATCTATCGAAAACAACATTTCTACCTCACAAGGTAGGGGTAAGATCTACGAACACTCTACCCTCCCCAGGCCCCACTTGCGGGGAAACATTGGGTTTGTTGTTGTAATCTGCTTATACTAGTTTCTTTGAGCCAAGAATCATGCAAATCTTTATCAGAATGAACCAAAAAAGGCAGCCCGATGCACAAAGCTCCCACTATGCGTCGAGGAAGCGCCGGACCACAAATCAAATTTCTTGCTTTTCAAGATGTGCCACATGTATATAATATATACCCTGGCAAAACAACTTGCGGTGTTTGCAAGCAAGATAAAACAATGGTTCTAAGAAAATAAGCCATAATATCATAATATCTAAACTTTATGGCATAATTAAATGAAGGATCGATAGAGGCAAAAGATCTCTCATTTGACTTGTTAATTTGTCCCCAGATAAAAAATATTCTAAGTTACTACAGAAAAGAGATCAAAAGCAAATCCACCACTTTTCCTCAGACAATTTGGTCCATCACACTTAACCTTCTACAAATGCAATAATGCATTTTACTTTCGACAGCCATCATCCCCTACCATTACTACTTTAACAGTACCTAAAAAGAAGAATTTTGTTACAGAGTTAGCATAATCCATCATCCTACTAATAGACAGACGGTTAAATCGTCGAGCTGATCTCCTGGCGCGCGTTTCATTTACAAAAGCACATATATACAAAACCGTCATGTGTGCATTGCAGTGAATTGTGTCATCCACGTGTTAGGTCAATCCCAGTCTGGGAATTTCTTACATCCGGCCGGGAACTTGGAGGCCAAACACCCGTGCCAGAACCTGAAGTAGGATCTTGACTCGGAGTAGCAGCAATTGGTGTAGATGACTTTTCAGCAGACTCTTTCTCCTCTTTAATGGGAGTAGTACTTTCTGGTTTGCTCTTTACCTTTGGATCATATACAAAGCTGCATACAACTACCTGCAGCAAATATTATTCATTTCCTTGTTACACAGAAAACAGAAAACAAATACTCACAAAAGATTAAGGAGAGATAAACAAGCATTCAGCAAATACCTGAACAGGGCTGGCAGCTATGAGCCTACCCCCTATAGCACCTCCAATTACATGCCCATCAGGACTACAAACCGAGATACTTATACCACCAGTGCGATTGCGTGGGCCACCATTTTCAGCAACCAAATATGAACCAGACAAGCATAGTATCTCAAAACGGCCCTGCACAGAATAGGAAACATGTAGTTGTCAGGATACATGATTTGTCACAAGCAGAATCACATGCATATATGGCAAAAGGAAAGGAGAGAACCGAAATTTTAGAGGGGAGAGAACACAAAGGGAACAAAGTTGTTATAGACATTTTCCAATCAGTGTCAACATCCATTCACATGATTTATAAGTGTGCGCATGCGTATGAAAATAGATGGTCTAAGTATTGAGACAAAGATTGAGCAACAAGGAAGACACATTAAAAGTGTTTCAACTGGAAAAAAAAACGTGCTACTTTCTCAAGTTTGCATCGACTTTGTCACTATCAACAATTCAGATGGACTTGTTAAATCGCATGTATCACATAGCCAACATGTAATGAAAAGAGAGGATAGGAGAGACAAATAAACCTAAATTAGAAATTGCTACAATTATGTGCATGTTAGTTGGTAAAACCAAACTATTTATTGGAGGTCTCTGGTTCTCCAGTCATGGATACTCCATTAAATTACCATAACTTTTTGAGTATGATCTTTATATTGACTAATATGTCGAAGTACTTGCTAAACTTTTTATATTTGCAGCATCAAATGTTTATATCTCATGCTCATATCCACTCTATTTGTAGTTTTCCATTAAAGAAATGACAATGACTTTCTCCAATCTTTCTTGTTTCTGTAAGTATAATTTTAGCCATTGTAAAGAAGAAGAATAAGCAATCTTGAGAGGACGATATGGCTCTTTTTGATAACCGATGATGGTATGGCTCTTATACTATCATTTTGAGTAGAAATTGATGCAGCACTGAATTTTATTGTAATTTTCTTAGGCATACTACTGAATCCCTATGGATGGATCATTAAAGTGTTAAACACGAAAGTTGATAGATAAGTGACGAATCAAAACAGTATCATGGACCAATAAAGTGTTCTGGCACTTAGATACAGGAGAAATCTTAATCCACTCAATATACTAGATTGAAAAAAGGGGAAATTTTCCACACATTCTAACGATAAAGAAAGAGCAAAAATAAAAGCTTCACATACTTTCTTGAATCATTAAAGAAAGTATAATTCAGGTCTTCAACATTGAAGTGAAATTAAGCATGAAACATGTAGGTTACATGACCAGGTAACATGTTATAGAAGGCCTATAGTTTGGATTTGCATATGTAAGCTAAATTGTTAAATATAAGATGTTATATAACAAAGTAACAATCACAACAAACAACATCAGCAATAAAGAAAAATGATAGATTTTTTCTCACAGGAGATAAGTTTGATACAGAAGACATGTAAAACAATTATAAGTGTTGCCTGAGTTTGTTTTATTGAAATGTTATAGAACATATGTTGTTCTAAACAGGTGAAAGGTCCTCGGAACCAAATCAAGAATCGATCACGAACAATTCAATACTTTATTTTTATTTTAGACAAGCTTATGAAAATGTCTCTACCAATCGCATATTGTCAGTCACATTCAGTATTCCAAAAGAACCACCTGCTAATAACTTTTAAAATCGCAGTGTATTATCTGATCTCTCCTAATCGCAAAATCAGTTGATATTAACTGTTACAGTATTTTCAAAAGAAGCTTGAAGCTCCTAAGTAACAGCCACGAAGCAAAGAGCCCCAACTGCCTCCCTTTTGCTCTTTCTTTCCCCTAAATAAAGGAAGTGGCAATGTTCCAAATAAAGCAGCTCTTGAGATGGGAGAATAAAGAGGCAATAATATAAAAGCTAGCCGTCAGACAAACCATGCATCAGCATCTCAGCAGTTATTAACTAGAAAATATGCAGCACCTTCCACAGTTAGTGGCGGATCAAGGAATCCAAGTTAATGGGTGCTCTTGTATGTTACCGTTATGGGTGTTCATGGTTCGGTTTTTCCCTAAAAAGAAACCAAACCAAGTAAGTCGGTTTTCCAAATATTGGAACCAAACTAAACCAATTGAGTCGGTTTTTTATCGATTCGGTTTATGTCGGTTATTTATCGGGTTTTTTCTTAAATATGAGACATACACTACCAAACGCATATTCCAGCGACTACATTTTCAAAATCTATTATTTTCAAGATATATTGATGATAATTGAATCAAATGGTGATGAAGAATTTAAGTACTCAATTAAAAATCAATTATTTTTAACATGAAATAAATTCTTGTACTTAGTAAAAGAAAACTACCAATCAAACTAGAATGTAAAGCCAAAGAATTAAATTATTATAATAGCAAAGAACTAGACTAAGAATTAGAATTATCTTAATTATAAGCTTGGTCCAAACCTAACGATAACTTCTTCAAACACGGGCTTGGGTATAGTAGAGTAGAATAACATATGGACTGACCTGTTTATATATGGCTTCTAACATTTTGACCACTTGTGAATTCTATAGAGCTCAAGTATTTAATGGTAAGTAGGTAATGCCAACAACACTGAAGTCCAATTTACAGAAAATAGGATCATATTTTAATCAAAATGTCATTTGAACAAAGTGATCTAGTAATTACAGATTGCTATTTTAAATTAGAGATGCACATTAAAGCAAATACAACCATACTTGCATGAGAAATATTAGTCCTCGTATACAAGACATGATTAAAGCATTTGAAACTAATAAAGTATCAAGCACCATTAACTAAATCAAAGAAGGGAATGAACGAGAAGTAACAAAATAACATATATACTAAAAAGATATTAGCAGCATTCGACAAAATGAGTACTTTATGCACTTACTGTGCATTTGAGATTGAAAGCATTAGTAGAAGTCCACTGTTCATGGCCCAGGAAAAAAAAGGGGAGGGGGGTGAAGAGACGAGAACTGCCAATTTACAAAACCTACACAACTGCAATTGAACTTAATTTTCACAGAGTGCCAATTTGGATACCAATTTTTTCTTCTCCACTTGTGCAACTTTACCTAGGCGTGCCAACCTCAACTTTATCAGCATATGGTCCGAAATGTCGCTTCCTAGAATAGTTGGTGTTACACGTCCAAATAAAGTGTAAAATTTCAAAGTGCAGATTATCTTATCAAGTTTAGATAATCTTTGTGGTTATTTTGTATCTCCATATGTAAAGGGGCTGAAATCTAAAATACCGGGGCTAGCCGTAAAACTGATGAAGTTACTTATCTGCTCTTTTGTATTTGGAGATCTGATGTTTCTCTCTGATGGGCGGGTTAGATTAGCATCCCCGATCATAAGTCATGATGTATCATATAACTTATTATGTGACTCGGGATGTGGTGTCAATTGTAATGGTTCTAAATCTAGACCATACGTTAGATCTCCATAAACTCCATGAAATTTGAACTTAACCGATAGATATTTAACCAGCTGAATATTTGCCAATATATATTTGTCAATCCTCTAGTGTTTTCTTTGTGATATCTAAAAGATTTATCACAGTTGATGCGTTCTTTGTCCCATAGTAACACCAAGTTTTCATGTTTTGTGCTAGTTTTCCATTTGATATGCGTTTCGCACTCTTGCAGTATTACCAAGTGAGGTTTGTGCATCCGTAGTTACGCTTCTATAGCCTCTTTTCTAAATGTATTTTTCCCATAACTGTGATTGACATTCCACGAAACAATTTCCAAGTAATCTTCGTTGAAATGTTCAATGAACTTGAAGCGCTCATTCTGTTATGCTTCTCCCTTTTTATTCTTCTTAATTTTAATATGTATTTTAGTTTATAAAATTACTTATTATATATATATATATATATATATATATATATATATATATATATATATATATATATATATATATGTGTGTGTGTGTGTGTGTGTGTGTGTGTGTGTTATATTTTTCAGTTTAATTGATTTTTAATGTGTGTTTCAGTTTATAAAATTAATTATTTTATATATGTTACATTTTCAGTGTATTTGATTAATTTTATATGTATTTCAGTTTAGAAAATTAATTATTATATATATGTTATATTTTCAGTTTGATTAATTTTAAAATGCATTTCAGTTTAGAAAATCAATTTTATATATATATAATATATATATATATATATATATATATATATATATTATATTAAATTTAAAGTAGTTTAATTTTTTTTAATGTGTATTTCAGTTTATAATTTAATTATTATATATATTATATGTATTTTAAGAATTGCGCTTCGCTTTTGAAGCGAGGCAAGCCCCTGTTACTTTTTTGCGCTTCGCGCTCTCAAAAACACTGGGTAGTGTATGTCTCATATATAAGAAAAAACGGCTAGATAACCGAAAAAACCGAAAAATTGACAAAAACCGACTAACCAAATCGAAAAAAACCGACTCAATTGATTTGGTTTGGCTCCAATATTTGAAAAACCGACTTACTTGGTTTGGATTCTTTTTAGGGAAAAACCGACCCAAACCGAACTATGAACACCCCTACCAGCTATGCAGCCACAACCAGGATTAATGTTAGAAGCCGGTTTGGTTCGGTTAGTTTTTGATTAAAACCAAAACCAAACCAAATTTGATCGGTTTTTAAAATTCAAAACCAAAACCAAACAAAACCTAAAAAGTATCGGGTTTTTTGGTCGATTTGGTTCGGTTTTTCGGATTCTTATAAACACCCCTAGTTACCGTAAATCTAACACTTGTCACAAAATCACAGTAAAAGTATGTAATCTATTAGTTTGGCCAATTTTAGATTCACTCGATTTAATTAATTTTCGTTTATATGTTCATTAAAAGGTTAAAATTATTGTAAGAAAAGCTCAGCATAGTTATTAACCTACTCAAAAAAGAAATGTGAATATGATGGATAAAAGAATACTTAGGTATCAAATTGTCGACCTACTTTCAGAACGGTTTACTTATAAGTTTGATAATATTAGTTGATTTTGTTCCTATTTATGCAAACAAAATTGTTTAGAGGTGAAAAAAAAAAGGAGAAAGCAAGATAAATTTATTTTGGCTAAATTCAGCTTAAAATAGGAGAAATAAGAATTTTAAAGCGAGAGAGGGCGCTAAACGGAAAGAAGGATTAAGTGGATCGAACCGTCGATGTTTGAGCAAAAAACCTATGTTTAGGCCAAAGCACCCAAAGCTCCTCCAAGCCAATGGGTGCTAACTCATTCTGTATGTCAAAATCTTAAGAAATTTCTACATAACTAATAAAGTTTTTACCGAAGTTTGTGGGTGCTTCAGCACCCATAAGTATGCATGTGGATCCGCCCATGTCCACAGTTTCAACAAGCTTTGATCAAAACATACAGAACATCATTTTTTCACTATGTTTCAAACTCTCAATAACGTGCCTAATGGTATTACTCGGCTCTTCACTTTCCATAATCTCAATTAGGATCTCGAAGGTAGAATATTTTATGTAAAATCCCAGTCAAGGACTCTCAACAACTCACTTGCTGGTATTATCGGCTCTCCAAGTCCAAGTGAATACAAAATATTAAACAAAGTCGAACCTCATAAGTAACAGTGGCACCAGAACTGGCAGGGGGGCGTAATGTTATAGCTGAAACTGCGCCATTAGCTGATAAGATACATAAAGCCCTAGGCCTCTGCTGTGCAAATGCCAACAATTTTGCCGCAACATCCTGTAAAATTTAGGGAGAGTATATTTCTAAGTGCATTTCGCACCAAGAAAAATAAAATACAGGTTATAAAATTTGGTGACAATAGAATGTTTAAGCACATGTATGGTTTAAGATCCAACATCGGTCAATCATATTTTTCCACATCTGAAAGCTCTTCCTCTGGACAAACATTGTGGGATAACCTACCCAACAATGTCAACACTGTTTCTATTTTGGTTACCAAACGTGCGTTTTTGCTGGTTTGCATCATCCAGTGTTATCAAAGGCGAAAAGCGCAAAAAAGCTCTAAGGTCCGTTGGGGCTTTAAGCGCAAAGCGCAAATAAAGCGTGAGCTTTAATGAAAAAAGGCGCAACGGGAGAACAAGTAAAAATACGCATAGTAGTCCAAGACTAATCACTATAAGCATGAATAACAAATATATGGACAAAGAAATTGGAAAAAAAATTCATGATAAAGTGAAATATCAGCTGTTTAAGGTCGCCATTTCAAGATTACACTCATTGGCAAGAAAAAGTATGCGTTAGAGCTTTGATGCGACACTAAAGTGCCCACAAAGCGAGGCGAAGCGCTCAATGTGCTTTGAGCCTTGCTTTAGGGCTTAAGCGCGCCTTTGACAATACTGGCATCATCTCGACTCGAGTTCCCGCCATAGGAATGAGTGAGAAGGAAAATACACAGCATTCACTGTAATTTTGTTTGTCAGGTAATGAAAATCACATACCAACATCAGACATCAATTCACTTTAATCCATAACCCGGATTTATTGTTCGAAAGACTTATACTCGGATCAAATAAAGGCAAACATGATAAAAACACTTCAGTCATACACTAAAGACAAACTTAGTAGTATTAGCTCCGAAAAAGATTATACATACAAAATGTGTAAGCAATACCTCTCCTACACCAATGTGTATAACATGAGGAGTAAAAGCCAATCCAGCCGAACTACTCATCCATTCACCTGCAGTATAGCAATTTAATCTTCAGAGACTACGACCAAATAAATAAGACATCTTGCAAGTTACTACTCCAATTGAGATATAAATTAACCAACAAATTAGAATTACCGGGGAGAACTTTCCACCCTACCCCCAACACCTTCAATATCATTATTATGCGATATGCAGCCACCAACATGATGCCGAGTGTAACCATTTAAGCAAATCAGTTCGAGTTAAGCCACAATAGGACAAGTTTGTCTAACTAAATGAGTGCAGGTGTATCTGATAAAACATAATTTGAGTCTGAATAAATTATTTTTTCTCTTCTAAATGTGAACAAGATTCAGGCTGTTAGCCCTGATTATCAGTGACAGGCAGCACCATATATATTAATTAGACATAACTAAAAACTCAAAACTAGAAGCACATGAATAAAATTGTAATTCACTTCCTAACAATGTAGGGCAAATGTCATTTACCACACATCCATAAATGTAGCATCACTACAATAAGTATGACATGTAACTGAAACAAACAAAGAAATCCCTTGTATGTGTGAACTAAAAGGCACGATTTCAGCTGTAAACAAACTTTATACTTTCAAAAATGTAATACTTCTAGATTAGCCAACAACTTAAACAACCGCCCCTCGGGTTACACATCGATGAAATGCCATAACGCATTAATGTTCAAATCATAACTCACCAACAGCAGCTAATTGTTGCTTCCACCCACTACCAGGAGGCCGGCCCCGTATTCGCTTCGGCCCAGGAGTAATGGACCCACCACTTGAAGGGTTACTAGACAAAGGAGACAATGCTAAAGACATGTTTGTCCCATCAGGACCATATTTCCTAGGCCTGCCTCTTTTCTTTTTCACTGGATCACTACCACTAGGTGAAACACTAGAGGCCATACTAATGTTAATTCCATGACCAAAATTAGGTGATGGATTCTCAACTTGGTAAGTTGAGTTCACATTACCAGTACTACTACTCCCTATATTGGACTGAACTGCAATATTAGCATTTGTTAGGGACTTAAAACCAGGTGATACAGGTACACCACTGGGTGTCCCAGTTCCACTAGCAGCACCAGGACTTGGCCCTGAACCAGAACCACTAATCCCTCTGTTAAGATAGTAATTAGCTGCAGAACCAGATAGTGTCATTCCTTCTCTTACATCCATGCATTTACTCACTAAATTTTACACCCCACAAGGAAAAAAACTGAGTCTTGATCCTTCTATTTACTAAAGATTGTAACTTTTTGAAGTTTAATTAACCAAAAGACAAAAACCAACAACAGAAACCTAATTAAACCAAGAAAAAAAACTTTTTTAAAGAATTGCTAACAAGGGTTTAAGATGGGTTTTTCAGGAAGTTGAGGAAAAAGCTAAAGATAACAAAAAAATGAAATCTTGGAGTGAGGGAAAAAGTAAAGGTTGAATTTTGAAGGAATAAAACTACTAAAGATCATACATTTAAGCTTTACTTAGAAGAATGCTTAATATTTGTAGCTCTAAAAGCCCACCCCACATAGTAATTTTGAGTGAAAAAGATGAAAAAAACTGTGCTAAGGCACATCAAACAGGAAAAGTGAAAAGGAAAAAAGAAAACCCTAGATTTGAAATGAGAGAGAAAGAGAGGAGTGATTGAACTGAACTGAGTTTTTTGGGGAAAGAGGAAGAGGAGGGTGAAGACAAAAGCAAAGTGAAATAGTAGTAGAAAATTTTCAGCTTTTGAATTAAAGTAAACAGAAGCCACCTTTCTTCATTGAAGTATAATATAATAATAGGATTATTTATCTTTAATATTTGAGGGGTTTGGAAAGGGTTTAAGAAGTCAGGAATGATGTAAGGGTTTGTTTGATTTGTCACATCTGAAAAATATTTTTAATTCAGCATTATATCAAAAATCATTCTAATTAATTGGGTTGATAACGATGCGTGTTATAATTGATTTTATTGAGTTATATAAGGAGTATATCATGTTAATTGATCTTTTTTCCGTTATTAGATAGCTGGACAGACCTATTTTTAAGGTGATTGTCGCTACTGTATTCATGAATACATAGCGGGAATACATGTTAATACAGTTGCGTATAGCCGAACTGTCCTGTTTTTAAGGCGTTGTTTGCTACTGCATTCATGAATACAGCAGCGCGAATACAATGAATACCATAATAACTGAATGATAGTTATAGGAAGTAATTATGTATATGGTAGCTACAAATATTCAAATTAACATGCCCGACTAATTTGCATTTGTATAAATGACCATTTTGGAGCCACTTTTTAAATATTGTCACTGTTAGCCCGTGAATTAAATTTGTCTGCAAACACAAATATTCATCCAGCAAATAGCAATTTTGAATGGCAAAATTTAGCTCATTGAGCTACGAGGTATAAAATTTAAATAGTGAACTCAAAAATGATCATATGGCGCAAATACCTCAACGTTTCATATCGAAATATTCTTTATTCTCAATATAAAAATCATAGTATAAATTTGTACTGTTAATACAAGGAGTGATTTTTTATTTTAACTTTTATCTCTATATAATTAAACTTACAATATATACAATTACTATTTCATATGGAATAACAAAGTCATGTCCTAAATATAGTATCATGTTTAATTGTTCACATATGTTTATTTATTTTATGAGCCATTATTCATTATATAGTAATATATGAATTTCTACAATTAATGTATAGTTTCATTAAAAAAAAAAAAAGTTCCTAAAAGTTACGAGTACTTTTTTTTTTTTTTTTTGTGGAGATTTTGGGGTACAGTTGGTGCACCTAAAGTACCAAAATGTCTCTATCAGATTACTATTATTAGTACATCTAATTTCTTAGGGAAAGGCTTTTTGCCCTTTTCTTTCTTAGTTTTCTCTTTTATTCAAGGCCTGTTCTGTATTGTCTGATGAATTTAATGAGAGACCTTTGTGACCTTTGCTTTTTAAGCTTTTGGACATTAAAGTGTGACTAAAGAGAAAGACAACAGAGTGATTAAATAGAGGAAATAGAAAATGAGAGAGTCAAAGTTTTTTTGTAAAAGACAAACATAGTCAAACAAGGAGGGAAATTAAATTTTAGTGGCTAGTGGGAGGAATATGTAAGAGTTCAAATTTATCCTTCATGCCCCTTAATTTCCACAATCTGACATGAATGGTGTCTCAAAGTTTAATAATAGCATGTTTGACCATGCCTCTAAAATTAACTTATTTTAAAAAGTGTTTATAAAAAGTAGTAATTTGTATTAGCTGATTAATTTGAATAGCATTTTTGAGCAGCAATTAGTATTTTGGCCAAACTTTAAAAAGTACTTCTAAGAGCCCGTTTAGCCAAACTACCAAAATCTGCTTATTTAAAAAATATTTTTATTCAAAAGTGCTTTTTGAAAAGGTACTTTTGCAAAATAGCAATTTATATTTGGCCAATTCGTTTGAGTTGTGCTTTTTGAAGCTCATTACCAAAAAAGGACAGTAAAAATTCAATTTGGAGTTAGTATTATTTAGAAAATAAAAATAATTTAAATATTTGCTATAAAAGAATTCAATTAAAATATAAAATGTAAGTAAAAATATAAATTAAAAACTTCAGTTAATATAAAATATAGTAGTTATTCCATAGCAATAGCATTGAGTGTTTGGATTACTTATTATTTATATGATAATTTAAATATATCAAAATACATCATTCGATATAAATTTAAAATCTACTCTAAGGAATACGAAAAAGAGAATAAAATTTTGATTAAAATTAAAAAGAGAAGAAATGTATAGTAGAAATTTTAAAAAAAAAAAGGAAAAGGAAACTAAAAATGGTAAATTAATGAGGGATGCTTTGAACAATATAAAACTATTATAAGGTTATTTTGTCTTGAACAAATTAATTTTCTGCTTTTTGGAAGAAGCTAGAATTTGTAGTTTCTCCCCAACAGTAGAAAAATTACTTCTGCTGCTACTCAAAAGTACTTTTTTATTTTGGCCAAACACCTAAAATTTTCCAAAAAGTTTTTTTTTACCAAAAAAAGAACTTTTCATCTCCCGGAGGCTTGGCCAAACAAGCTCTAAGTATATTTTTCAAAAGTGCTTTTAAAAAAAAGTATTTTTGAAAAGAAATTACTTTTTTCTGTTTCTACTCAAAAATATTTTTTTTCCTTCTAAAAGCTTGACCAAATAATTTAGTTTTTGAAAAAAAATATTTTTGACCAAGAAAATACTTTTGGCTAAAAAGAGCAGTTTGGCCGAACAGATTTCATTAACATGCAAGAAGTTTTATGAACTCAAATTTAATCTTCTTGATACCTTTTCTATTGTTTTGTTTGTAAAAGAATACAAAAGCAATATAATTTTTTCTTATATGTACGAACAAATATTAACTAATATTCAGAATTTTCAAAAATTTATATGCATCATTTTCCCACTTAAAAACTCTAATTTTAAATGTATAAGTTATTCACATTTCACCACATTCAAAATAGACAAAATTACAGAATAATGCACTCTATAAGTTGACCTTGCGCTATTTTAGACAAGTTACAAGTTTACAAATGTGTAGTCAAATATCAATAAGATCTTTTCTTTTCCCATTTCCTCTAATTATAACAACCTCATTTATTCCTACATACCCCTATTGTAGCTCTCTCCTCATTTTTCACCCATAAATATTTAATTTAATTAATAAAAAATAATCATATGCAAACAAAATTGAAAACAAAAATCAACACTCATTCGTGCCTTCTTCCATAACCAATACTTCTCTGATTTTTTTTTTTTTTGATTTTGTATATCTTCAGGTTTATACATACCTATCACACTACAAAACGCAAAAACATACGCGAGAAATCTAAAATCTCATCTCCTTTAATGCTAATCTTGTTAAATTTTGATTATGATTTTGTGAGAAATTTGGAGTGGGTATTGTTTGAACTTATTAGAAATAGTCTAAGTAGGTTGTATACAAAGTTTGAAGTTATTTGCTGGAGATTTGGAGTAGTTTTATACAAGAATTGCAAGCGAAAATCGTACAAAAATTTCGTCAGAGATGCTTATACACTTTTATACAAAGAGGTACATTATGTATATAGCTGTATAAAAGTGTATAAAGATGTATAATCACAGAGTGAAAATATTCTCGATACACTATGTATATAGGTGTAGAAGAAGAAGAAGAAGAAGAAGAAGAAGAAGAAGAAGAAGAAGAAAAAAATGCGAGAAATTCACCAGATACCTGTAAATAATGTATCAACCTTGTATATAATAGTGCATAAGTGGTGTTTATATCTATTATACACTATTTATACAATATTATACATTACTATACAAATGAATCCTATCAATGGAGCTTCACGTGTTCTTCTTCTTCCTTGGGCAGCCTCTGAAATTTAACTCAAACATAGCCTATATCTACTCCAAATCACTTGAAATTTAAGTTTTGAACCTAACTTGATGATTCCAATCAATTGGGACAAAACCCATTCCAAACAACTAACAAATCGGAAAACTCAATTTCTGAAATGAATCTTCGAACCACCTGTAATAGTGACTTTTATTTTTCAAATCCTTAGTTAACCATTGGAATCCGGAAAAGAATTGAAGGAGAATAACAATAGATGAGAAATTTTGTGGTGCAAAGACTGACATGGGAAGAAGAAGAAGAAGAAAAAGAACGAAGAAAAAGGGGTGGGCTAACTGGTGAAAAGTAATTTTCAGATTATGTACAATTTGGACTACACCGGATAAGGGCTTCAAACGTAGGCCATTTTCTGATGGGTTGTTGGGGCAAGTGACAAGGGATGTATTCTCCCTTCGAAATACTGTTTGCATCCTATCATGTAGTGGCATGCATATTTAGCAATTTTAGAATCACTGGGGGTGGGGATGGGGGATGGGGGTGGGGGGAGGATTTTGTGTCATTTCTCAACTGCACATGAGAAACTAATAATAATACATATAAAATCTATTAGAGAGAAAGATCACGATATTTGATACTCGCTTCTAAAAATACTTCAAATGTATTATGTATTAAACTTTAATCATCCCTTAATTACCTGTCGTCCTAATCACCGTGCGCAAACCCTATCTCGAAGTATTGGCGTTATGGTGTGGAAAAATCATACTCTCCACGAAGCTTAATAAATAAGCAAAACTTTTGAAATTTGTAATTTAAAACAATTTATAAAAAACTGTGCAGCTAAAAATTACCTCATTAAGGAAAAATAAAAAATTAAAATTAAATTGTTGCTGAATATATAAATATATCATTCTTTTTCAGAACCGATAAAAACGAAAATTGTGTCACGCGAAATGAGAGAGAGAGAGAGAGAGTATTTGTCTTAAGTAGAGGTGTTATAATGGCCATATATGTATTATTGTAGATTTGAGTAAGATGGACAACAGTAGATTCCAACAGTAGAACATTTTCTTTAAAAAGGGTCTGCAGGTTTCTACTTTTTGTGATAGCTAAATGAAGAAAATTACAACTCTAAATTATGAAATTGTTTGACAACTTGCATTCTTCTCAGTCATCTCAAGCTGGCCATGCTAGAAAAGTGCACCGTTTATTTAATTTGATAGACATGGGTAATCATTGAATCTTCTACTTGATTCCCTTAAAAAACGCTGACAGAGATAAACAAAAAAAAAAAAGAGAATAAACAACTAGGTGTAACCAATAAGGATTGTGATAGAGTTATAAGTACTCCTTCGTCCTTAACCAGAGATCTCGAGTTTCGAGTCCC